AATGATAAAGAGAACAATTTCTTTAAGTAAATCACTTAATTACCTAGCTACTCATATTTAAGTCCGAAAATTCTTAAATTATAACATAAGAACATTATCATCTCTCGTGTTTCACCTTTCAGCCAATTTCTTTTTGGTAAGTAAATGTTACTGCCAATACTAAATAACCATCCTCTTTCAGCAGAAGAGGGAGGTGCTGATAGATATTTCCTGGCTAAAAGTGGCATGATGGGAAATTGATTTTTATTTGAATTCCATCACTGAAAAATATTATCACTTTTTATATTTTTTTAATGCAATGCTATTTTATGTAATTCCCACCAAAAGAAATGTAAATGCCTACCATCACCCTTTTGGATTAAGTGCTGATCAAAACTCCTTATATGGAATTTTATTTTTAATTTCTATTTAAGAATAATTGAAAATTTGATTTTTAAAATAAAATTTCATAAGATTCTAATTTTTTTTCTAGCTTTTATAAATGCAGGAAATTTTTATTTTTTAATTTATAAAAATAGAAAAAACAGTGTCTTAAACGATCTCACTAGAACAATGAATTCATTTTGTGTTTAACATAATTTTGATTATAATTATTAAATTAATAATTTATAATATTACATGTGTGAATTGACAATGTTTAAAAAGAAATTAACATTTTTATTTTGAACTGAAACAGACTTTAAACTGGAAAGTGAACCAAGAAGAAACATTTTTTTTTTTTTTTTTTTTTTTTTTTTTACACAAGTAAAATAAATTTACACCATACTTAGGTTATGATCTATAGATTTTAGTTTAAAATCAATAAATATTTGTATCTTTTTATCATAAGTACCAGAAATGGAAATTTAAGTTTTAAACAAAAAGTAATCCAAATAATCATTTTGGGAATTGGAAATTAAGTTAAAAATTCTGATTCTAATGCCAATTCCGATATTTTTCAATTAATAGTCCCATCACTAATTAGAAGTAAATTTACACCTTTCCCAAGAGAATTAGTGCAATATAAATGCTACAAACTAGGCCAGAAATTGAACTTGGTTTACCAGTACCACTTTCCACAACAATTACACTGTTTACATATACAACAAAATTTAAATGAAAATGTAATTTTTTCCTTTCTAGAAGTCAGTTATAACCATAACTTATTTTCTGGGTTTCACTTTTAGTCACCAAGGACTTATTTTGAACCTAAGTAACCAATACAATTAGTAAGCTTAACTTAAATGGGTAAAAACAAATCGGATCACATCAGTAGAAGTTAAACCAGTTTTCCGATCTAAAATCATGGTCTTTACTGAAGCCTGAACACCAACCTCTAAACACTTAGTAGAAGAGCATAATGAAGTGACCTGAAAGCAAAAATGTATTCAAAAAGAAATGCAAACACAAGACTAAGAACTTTGTGAATTTTATTCGGCCAATCTGGTTTAGGGTTTTTTTTTAGTTAGTGGCAGATTGCCAGAAGTCAGACACCATTTCATCAAGACATTTCATGAATTATTGCAGTTAATTTATTTATTAATTTACTTATTTATACTTCACAGGAGATGTTCAGTTCTGTATTGTCAGCTAGCAGTCATATAACAATGATGTTCAATAATAATTTTTTCACTTGCAAATGCTTAATCATATGTTTTATATGTAAGGAAGAATACATTTATTTTAAAGTTATGACAGCTCAAAATGAGATATGATCCAGAGTGGGAGGTTGTTTGGGCATTTATTCCGACGACCAGCATCTACTCATCCTTCTCCACTAGTCTTTCAAAATACTATTCTCTTCTCAGTAATTGACAGAAATTGATAATTGTAGCATATATTTTACTCAAGGTTGTATTTTAATCTAAGACATTAAATGTTTTCTCTCATTCTATCCTTTTACATTCCCACATATATATAATAATGGCCAGCCAATTATTTCCAAGCATGCTTGTCTGCTAGGGCAGGTGGCCAATCCCTGATGCAGATGCCAATCTGTGGTTTATATTACAACTATACTGAGCAAACCTTAGATTTCAATTGATGTGGTATCCCCTAGAAACTATCTGGCTAATGATTTTTCTTTCTTCTTCTTCAGCTGATTTTGAAGATGTTTGTAAATTACACAAAATTGCTGATCTGTGTTATGGAATTTTACACACTTTGTAATTTTATTTCCTTTTATTATCCTCAGAAAAATCAATAGCTGTTAACCTTATAAGGAAATAGGAATATGAATAGTTGTAATTTGGTGACATAGTAATTGTGAGTTCAATCTCTTGGCTGGGCAGTGTGTACTTGGACTCAGTAGAAATGAGCAAACAATAACTGAGCAGTACTAAAAATAAGAACTAGACAAGATATTCCTAGACATGGGCAGTGAAACAAGGACAGTCTACCCCTCTCCCATAGATTAAATAAAGGGTCCAGTTCAAAATTCACTCTAGGTCACCAAGATTGATATAAATCTGATGAATGCCTGAAATTTTATAAAAAAAATGAGGACAATAGTCCAAATGTAAATAATGATTTTCTTAGTTATGATTATACAAATGTTACTGAAAAATTTTTGGTAAGCTTTCAATGATCAAACATCAGAATACTGATTCTGGGAAGTTGGTAAAATCAAGAACTTTTCAACGCCTTCTCTTACATATAAACAATATATAGTGTAAACACTTACCAATTTGGTCTTTTAGGGAATATTTTTTTCAATATTTGCCTCATTGTGTGTATGTCTAGTTTGTAACTGAGGCAGTATATCAATTGAAAGAAATTATCAGAAAATAATTTCTTTGCCAGTGTGTATTCTATATAATCTTAAAAATATGCCACAATTTATGATTTATTTGCATTTAACAATTTGTAGCTTATCTTCTGTTTATTTAAGCAAAAAATATTGACACAGCTGTGATATTTACATGTTTACTAAAGATAGGTTCTATAAGTGATGCCTGGTAAAGTAATATCAAAGTTAGAATTTTTATTTCTAAAATTTTTTCCTTGGTTGTCTATCCATTTTGCTCATCTCATAATTCATCCACCACTGCACACAATTATTTATATATGGGCATGTGGTTAGGATGTTTGCTTTCTAACCATGAGACATAGGTTCAAATCTCACCATGATTTATCAGAAAGGTGATTTGGATAGCCTGAGGAGGTGATTCCAGTATGCGACAAATTTGGATAGTACCTGAAAATCATACCACATGTTGACCCAAGCTTTGTGAGTGAATTTTGGTTGATGGAACCGTTTGAAAGCCGTTGATTTTTGTTCTAACACAAAGTCACAAGTCACTATGATTGAGGGTTTCAGTATACTGGCCTTGTTCAAACTGCTGATTGCACCAGATTATCTACTTTCCCTTTCTCTTTCAAACTGTAATTATGGTCTGCTCAGCATAGTTGCAGTATAAACCATACGTAGGGTCTTTGGGTGTTGAATAAATACAAATGTGCCTGAGCAGCCTCTGCAACAGGGATTGGCTAGCAATCCGAGCAGAAAGATATGCTTGGAAACCAGTAGCTGTCCATTATTTACTATGAATAGTGAAGTGTCATGCTTTGTTTTGTGATTTTTCTACTCTATAAACATGCAGATATTTTTACCAAAAATAGTATTTTATAAATGTACTGATTGTGGTGAGCATATGTCATGAAACACGTGAGGATCAGCAGATGCCCAGCCAAAAAGCTAATTTCAGTCCAATTGCATTTCAGCATATACTTAAACAGATTCTGTCATAGCATCTATTCAAAATAGACCAGAATACAGGCTGCTAGTGTGTGTGTATATATATATATATATATATATATATATATATATATATAAAAATTAAAATAAATTCAGATAACAAATATCATTCGTACAACCATCTGCCCATTTTCCTGCAGTTTTACTACATGTTTAGAATTTTTTTTCCCCAGTTTCAAAAGTTTATCAGCAAGAACAAAGTTCTGCAAAAAACAATGATAAATAAGCTAATGTATTTTTGAGTATTTTTGTTGAATTTTATATTTGTAATTTTACTATACATGTATGGCGTATTGTTGGAAAATTCTTAGTTATTGTAATAAAAGATATTAATGCTATATAATAATTTCTATGCAGTTGTTTCCTGAGACATGAAAATTATTTCATGGGTTCTACAAGAGTAACATGATTGAGAAACTCTGAGCAAGATTGTAAATATATAACATTTGAATTTCTATTTTTGTATCAGTTCACAACTTGAAAACCAAAATCCAGATAGCTTTTCTTCAGATTTTATTTTGTTTTCAATAAATTTATCAAGTTCTGTAAAATGTCCCATTTCTAAAATAAAAATTGATTTTGCTGTCCAACTAGAAATTTATATCAAAAGAAATTTTTTTTTTTTTTTTGCTTCAAGATAGTTTGTAAATGAAAACCTTGTCATTTGTATGCCTGAGCCTAAAGATCAATATAGATTTTTAAAGGAAGTTAGTTTAAAATTAAGACATAGCCACCTGTGACAGGTATTTGCATTAAGTTTGCTACTTCATTTCACTATTTTGTTGCAGGTGCTTTTACTTGAGAAACCAATATTTACAGTTTTTGTCTTGCAATTTTAATGTATAGTGTTTCTCTTCTCATCCAATAACTTTTCGGCAAGATTTTGTAATGTATCTCTACTGTGTGTGTTTTCTTTTTTTTTCCTCCTTATTTTATTGACTTTGTCTTTCTGTCAGAAAGTCTTTGCTTTGTCTATCATAAGATGACAAATAAGAAATATTTAATTGTACTGTGCAAAAATACTGTTTACCAATACACAATCCATGTAGACATTGTATTTTTATTTAAGTAAATTTTTTTTCTTCATCTTTTACAGAATGAGAAAAGACAAGGACAAGACTTTGCTGACTTTTATATGAAAGAATGGACTGGCCGATCAAAAAGACCTGCCAATACCACATCATGCCAGAACTGGCACCATTGACGTTTTTCAAAACCTGTTTATGATAGTTCCCCCACTTCAGGGGAAAACAGTGCTTCAACTATGGCCGCTGCCGTCCTCAGTGAGTCCCCACCCCGGGTGAAAATGCTGCACCAGCCAAAGAAGACACTAAGTTTCATGCAAATGATTCTACTAAACTCAGTTGTGTGTGGTGTTGAGATATGTGCCTGTGCTGGATTCACCTGCATTTCACCACTCCTGCTCAAGGTTGGCTACTCCGAAGAAAACATGAGCATTATCCTTGGAATGGGTCCACTTCTGTGTTTCATTATTGTACCATTAATTGGTCGTGCTAGTGACCGGTGTAAAAGCAGGTATGGACGGCGACGACCGTTTATATTTTGCATCTCAACAATTATCCTGTTGTCACTTGTCTTTATCCCAGTGGGAGAAAATCTTTCTCGTCTCTTTGTAAACCAAATGGGTTCGTTCAAACATGCTGGAATTTCATTCTTGACAATAGGAGTTATATTTTTGGATTTTTCAACTCAGGCTTTGTTAACACCATGTGAGGCTTTATTGTCTGATGCATCTAGAGATACTGACCAAAAGGAACGGATTTTTACCATTTATTCTTTTATGATAAGCTTTGGAGGCTGTGTCGGATATCTCATAACAGCTTTGGATTGGAGTAACACTTCGATTGGAATCTATTTTGGTGGCCAGGAACAGGCTATTTTTGCTATCCTGACCATTCTCTACCTATTAGCATCGGCTGCTACATTAATGGTTGCTGAGGAAAGCCCATTGCAGCAAAACAACCTGGAACAAGTTCCTCTTTATTCTGATGTTGAAGAAATGCAACTAGTAATTAGCAATGTACACGAGTCTGGATACGAGACCAGTAGCAATGAGTCCGTGTCTGACGACAATGTCACACCATCTATCCCTTATCTTAAAAACCACAACCGAATATCGCCGAGCAAATCAATAAAGGTTTCTCCAATTCACACTTCCAAAACCCTCCCTTTTATTTTCCGAATTCCCTTCTTATTTTGCAAGCTGCCCATCATCTACTACATTTGTAAATATCTCAAACAGATCTTTCGGTCATTGTGGACAGGCATCTATCACCGGCTGCCAGAAACAGTGCAGACTGTTCTTGATGTTCCACTAGTACTTCGTCAGTTGGCAGCAGCCAACTTTTGCAGTTGGACTGCACTCATGGGCTTCACCCTCTTTTATACAGACTATGTGGGTCAGGCTGTCTATCAGGGTAATCCTAATGCCCCCGAAAATTCTTTGTCAAGAAACAATTTTGATGAAGGTGTACGAATGGGCAGTTGGGGTTTGTTGTTCCATTGTATGACCTCTGCTGCTTATTCTCCTTTCATTGAGAGATTGGTCGCTCGGTTTGGCTGCCGTCTCACATATTTGGTAGGAATGGCTAGTTTTTCATTGGCCATGTTTGTCATGGTTTTGTGTCACAATATAGTTATTGTGAATGCTATAGCAGCAATCACTGGATTTGGATATGCAACTATGACAACAATTCCATTTATACTTATATCGGATTATCATGCTGATAAAGAGGTAAGTAAATAATTGTTTTATTGATCTAAAGAATTGAATGAGCTTTTATTTCTTTTTCATTTTTATTTCTTTGTATCTAATGTTGAATTTTGAAACGACAACTATTCCCTTGACAGCGCTATTATTGTATACACTTTTGATTCCCTCGGCTATGTTTATTTACAAGATTGTAAAATATGTGGACCAAATACAATGTGATATTTATTATTTACCTTTCATAAAAATATAAATTTGAAAAATCTTTTTGTTCAAAAGTTTATAAAAAAAAATTATAAAATTACCAAAATATGTAAAGAGGAAGAGTTGCTCTCACTACAAATTCATTAAAATAAGTTGAGAGCAAATGAAAAAAAAATGCATTTTTTTTTCAAAATTTATAATTCCAGCTAATCATTGTGTTTATTTAAATTTCCTTATTCAGATATTTTTTATAAATTTACTAAAAAATTTTTTCATAATTATTTCTTTATAAAATGGTAAATATAAATATTCCATTATAGTTGGATCACATCTTGTAAATATGAAATGCTTGTAAATAAGCAATCTAATAGTATTAATATCTTTGTTAATTCTCAAGAATAAAGAAAATGCGTAAATCCACTTATGTTTGGGTTTTATTAAAATTCTATCATAGTTTTTTAAAATGATAAACATTGTTGAGGTAGTCAAAAGTTTACAGTAATAGTGGTGTCAAGGGAATCTGTCCTTTTGAGACACCTTTCTTTTTTTTTTTTTCTTTTTTTTTTATCATGAAAGTTAAACATTGCCAAAATTTTTATAGCTTCAGCACCACTTGTCTCTCTTGCGTTCCATATATCCTCTGAGGGTTAAGTTTTCCAATCCCTACTCCTTCCTCATGTGTCCCAAATTTTTCAGCAGTCTCTTTCTCTGATTATGAGTATAAATGTCCATTTGGTTTCCATAAGACTTATTTTTTTTTTTTTTTTTTTTTTTTTTAAATAATGTTCACCCAATACAAGGCCCCCAGAGAAGGGGTAGAAGGTTATTGTCTAAACTTTTGTAGAGGACACAGTACAAAGACTCAAAATTCTGGAGGCTGTTGTAGTAAAAGAGAAGCAGCCAACATTAAATAAGGAATCTTTCTACATAGGGATCATATATTGAAGTGTGTTTATATATAAAAAGAAAAAATACACATAAAAATTCCAGTTCGACTGTTTAAATACCATCACCCTGAATGTGACTTGCAATTGGTTCTAGCAAATGTGAGAATGCCAGAAAAACAATTTATGTTAATACACACAAACACACAATCCTTGAAAATCAATATAGCAACATTCAAAAGTACTTGGAAAAAATATAAAATGAATAGAAATATAAACTTTGCCACATTTACTAATAACATAAAACAACTAATTGGGGAAACTTGAAAAATTTGATAAACAGAACTTGTTGATATTATTCAACCAAACATGTTTGAAAGAATTATTGCTGCCAAAATATACTTTATATATTTTAAGATGCTAACTCCGAAAATAATAGTTCTATTACCTTCTTTGACATGTTCATAGATGAATGAACCATAGAGGCCTATAGGCAAGAACAAAGGAAATTGCATATTTTGTGTAAATTTTATTGAATGTTGCTCAAATAACATGGCAATATTAGAAATGGTTTCAAAAATATATTTTTGCCCTGAATTTGGATCAAAAAGCTTAAATGGACTCAATAGTGTTGTTCAAACAATGAATTTTTTTTTTATTACAGCATTTCTAGGCTTCCTTACATGGAAAAAGGTGAACAAGTGGTTTAATGAGATTATCTCATGAGAAATAATAAAAAAAATATCACTTGGGGATTCAGCAAATCATTATACATCAATTATTAACATGATAATTAACCCTAATGTCTCTGCAGGTAATTTGATTGGCTATCAGCCAGTGTTCACTCATTCAGTTTAACATTGATCTTTTGTGCTTTGCGTAGACAATATTCTAAAGTGAAAAATAAAATAGTGGTTGGCCTGACAAATTTTGTCTGATTTCGCACACCTTGTGAAATGGATTCTTTGTGTGAAACTTCAAATCAAAACTGTTTTAAAACCAGAAGATTAGTGTAAGCATGGACTTTCTATAAAAACTTTCTCAAGCCTTCAGTATGCAGTTACAAAACTAATGGTATCTTCTATGTACCATGTATCTTCAGGATATGGGTGATCATGGCTCTCCACAATTTCCTTCCTGTTGCAGTTCTTAACAGTATTTATCTTTTTACAGTCCCTAATCTGCCATCCATTTGCACAAGATTATTAGGTAGGACATGCCATGTTTAATGGATGTCAGTTATCTCCTGTTAATTCCCTTCTCCAAGTTCTCCAACTCCTTAACCAGTTTGAGTTCAATACCCGGTTAAGGCAATGGAGAACTTGGAGATGGGAATTAACAGGATCTAACTGATAACTGACATCCATTAAACATGGCATCTGTAACTAGAACAATCTACCCCAGTGAGCGGAATAAAGGGTTCAGTTTGACATTCCAATCACCTGAAGAAGGCCGGAGCATACAACAGCCGAAACATTGTAATAAATATGGCAACAAAGATTTGGACAATAGTCTGAATAATGTAAAGAGTGTATATAACAACCCACTTTTGATCACTTTTTTTTTTTTGCAGACCATTTCTGATATTCCTAGCTCCACAGACCATTTCTTTTTTTCTGATTCTGGTGTTGTCTACATAATTGATTGATGAAGGTTCTTGATGGTCTACCTCTTGATCTTTCCCATAATTTAGATCCTATAGCTTCAGCTGATACGTAACTTCTTGTTTACTACTTCAGCAATGATAATTAAAACACACTTGCCATCAGCTGTTTGTATTCATAAGCTTTGATAATTTCCTATATATCTCTTCATTAGGTATATGCTGTTTCCAGCTGACATTTTAATGCTGCTCTCAATAGTCATGTCTACCTACCATTTATTTAGTTTTATCTGTGATTTTGTTAATCTTATTGACTCGTGTAAGAAGACTGTTTTTGTTGTTGCCCGAAAGAGTTGTACTTGAAGGCTTTTTTGACTTCTAGATGAGATTTGTTTGATATTTAATTTTACCAATGAAATAAATCAAATTAATATTCTTAAAAGATGACAGAAATAGAAAGAGTCTAATGTAATGTTTATAAATTCAGTTTTACTGAAAGAATGACTTAAGGCTACCATACCTTTTGGAATGTGTTTTGTTTTTTAATCATTTCATGCCAAGGAAGGTAGTTAAGCCACTAAGATGCAAAAGGTTACTGAGAGTGAAAGAAAATGAACAAAGAAAAAACAGGATTTAAAAAAAAAAAAAAATTGCAATTGGCTAGAAAGTAGTAAGCTAGAACAGTTCTAAAGTTGAGACATGTGAGAGAACAAACCATTAGAATAGAAATTAAGGTTATATCTAGTTATTTCAACAGTAAAATGATGAGACCTAATTGCCAATCTAGTACCGCACTTAAATACATGAAGGTGAGTTACTGTTGTAACCTAGAAAAGATTAGTAAATGAGGAATAACCAAAACAGAAGTTGGAAATAAAATAGTTATCATTGACATCAACAAAATACAATACTCACCAGCAGCATGAAGTAGGTAAACCACTGCTAGTGGTGGACTACTTAGACAGCATATTACCCCCACTTACAATAGTGTCTAATGTATTTATGAGGATTGGGACATACCCATTAGTGTTCTTATGTATAGTATATAACAGTTACCGAGAAGGAAAGCTCATTAGAACAGTTAACATGAAAATATTTATAGAAAAGACAGAGGGAAGCCACGTCATAGTGGTGGGAAAGTAACTGAAATCAAGATGCCAGATGAGGACTGATAATATTACAGACTCCTTTGGATTTTGCCAAGAATCTCAAGGTATATAAATGAGACTAGATATCGCAGAAATATTCAATGCAAGAATAAATGATAGATTTATAAATGTGCATTTGATTGATTTTGTTTTTCACAGTTCATCACCTTTCGTAAGTTATTTAAAGCCAGAAATTGTTTTTGATTATACAAATTTTTGTGTGATAATTGTTTACAAGAGCTATTAATTAACCCATATCTGAGGGGAGAAGTGTATTCATACCTTTACCAAGAGCATAAGTGGATATAACGAACCTGACTGGAATTGGGACTTTGCTCTCTGATTTCCAATTCCAAGCCATTATTCATCATACCCCACCCGTACATCTAAGCCAGTGGTTCTTAATGAGATCTCACCCCTTTTAGGGGGTGCGAAACCTTCGATTTGGTAATTTAGCAAAAATAAATAAATAAATTGAAATATTTAAACTTTAACTGTTAAGCATTCAAATTTATTTGTTTATTATTTTTTTGGATACTTTTAACCATTTTAACAGTAGCGGAAGAGAAAACGACTTTTTTTTTTTTTTTTTTTTTTTGTTAAATTAGCCAGTGTAACAGTAATAAGATAATATGGATAGCATTCAAATTACCAACCGAAAATAGGCGGCGCTGCTTCCTGTTTATAGTCAGTTTGCCAAATGGGTGAGCCTCTTATTTCTTTACTTCATTAAGTTCAGAATTATCTCTAGAATCCAAATTTGATGTATGCCGGATTCTATTATATTGGTAATTATATTGAAGTTGGTTATTACATTCATGAGTTATTCATTTTTTTTCTCTTTTAGATTATTAACACATCATTATGTCAAAAAAAAAAAAAAAAAATGATGAATATGGGGTTTCATTTCATGAAAATTGAAAAAAAAATTCAGTGCATACTTTGTAATGCTGTGTTTTCCAACGCAAAGATTAAGCCATCAAAGTTGCAAGAACTCTTCAGCAATAAGCACGGTGGAGATAGTGTTGAAGGCCATGATTTTGAATCACTGAAAACTAAAAGAGCCAGTTTTCAATCTCAAGAGGCCCTTCCAAAATTAGGTTTCATTTCTGTTGACAAACCACTGCTTCTGGTTTCATACGAAGTGGCATATAAAGTAGCCAAGTCTAAAAAGACCCATACAATTGCAGAAGAGCTGATCAAACTGCAAGCATTAAAAATGGCAACAACTGTTCTGGGCCAAGAAGCAAGAAAAAAGCTTGAATTAGTGCCACTGTCAAATAATGTCTTTCATAATTGAATTGGTGACTTGACTGATGATATTTTGGATCAAGTTATCTCAGATGTCAGTTCTTTGAAAATTTCTTCCAGTTGAAAACTGATGTATCCAGTTGGATTAAATGTCAGTGATGTACTGATGTTCTGTTTTGAACTGCAAAACAACCACATTGCAAAAGTTAGGTATTTCAGAAATATAGTATTGTGAAACATGATTTAGATGTTTTATTGGAAGAACTGAAAACGACCACACAAGGAAAAAATCTGGATTTTCTGCAGTTTGTAAAAGATTCCACTTTTCCAAACATGATTTAGATATCCAAACATTGGTTCTGTTGGGCAATTACTGATGGTAAAGCTCTTCAACTGATTAAGGGGTCATGCTCTGAACCACTGTATCTTTAAGTTGTTTTGTGAAGATCTGGAAATGAATATACAGTTTTGCTTTTCCACACGGAAATTCACTGTTTTTCTTTTGAGGGTAACTGGCTTTCAAAGCCCGCTTCTTTGAACTGCAGGAAGAAATCAGTTTTTCTGGAGGAATGTGACTATGATCTGGTTGGTGAATTGGAATCACAAAATTTCATGCAAATGCTGGCTTATTTGGCTGACATTTTCACTCGTATCAATGAATTTAGTCTCTCTTCATGGAAAAGATATGAACATATTGAAATGTTATGAAAAGCTGAAATCTTTCAAAGAAATGTTATCTCTTTCGTGTCGATAGGTGGAAAGAGGTAATCTTTCAAATTTTCCATCACTTGAAGAAATTGTTGATGATAATGGATTTCTAATTCCTACTGTGCATGAAGATATTGTGGTTCATTTGGAAATGCTGTCAAAATCATTTGATGGATATTTTGCAGCTGGAGAACGGATCATGAATCCATATGCCTACAATTTGTATGTTGGATGATGAGCTGAAGGAAGATCTTATTGATTTGCAGACAAATTGTGCTCTTGAAATGCAATTTGAAATCAACACTTAGGAGGAGTATTGGTGTTCAGCAATAAATGTTTACAAGACTTTGTGAAAAAGCATTTTGTGTCCTTATCCCATTTGCAACCACATGCTTATGTGAGTCTGGATTTAGTTCTCTTTTGTCAATCAAGACAATATCTAGAAATCGCATTAATCCACAGGCAGACATACAGATCGCTATCAGCAACAAAGTACCACGTTTTGACAAAATCATATCCAAGAAACAGGAACAAAAAAGTTATTAGATTTAAATTTTACATTTTTTGATGTGAATTTCTTAATGTTAGATTTTATTTTTTTGAAATTGTTTAATTTACACTTACATGGAATCGGAAGCTTAATTTTTTTGTACTATTTGTGTATTTAAGTTTATTTACTCTTTTTTTCTTCCTTTTCATGTCATTTAAAGATTAGGTTAAAATAAATTTGTTGCTCAAATTGAGTATAAATTGCCTTCATCTTCAAATGAGATATTACTTTTGTGTGTGTGTGTGTGTGTATATATATATATATATATATATATATATATATATATATATATGGGTGCAAGGCATAGAAAAGGTTTAATAACCCCTAATATAAGCTTACAGCACAGGGTATTCTGAAGTGGTCTACCATTTAGGTATTAACCAGGTTCAACATTGCGTAACTTCTGTGTATGAGAGTTGGTGTTTCAACATGACATGGCTATAAGTCTTATAAATGCACAAGATGAATTCTGGTGAGAAATATTGTCTGGCCTGACTAAGAACTGACTTTCTGAACAGAAGAATTAGTAATAGATTCAATATAGCCATTGCACCCCATGTCTGGAAAACGTAGACCCAAGAAAGCACAAACTGCTCTCCTGGAGGTTGGCATCAGCCATGCTGATGGAGGACAAAAATGAATCTCTTCAATGGTTAAGACAGTTTTGTTTTGGAGGTGTGAAAGTTCACAAGCCATTTGTTGCTCCAGTCAACAGATTGAAGGTCATTTTTCAACATCAGATGTCAACTTGATTTTTATCAAGCTTATCAGACTTACAATTAAAATGACAATAAATAGTTGTCATCAGCCTTAGATACCAAGTTGGGAATTGATGACACCGAAATGATCGTTGATGAAGAACAAAGTAAGTCCAAGAATAAAGACCTAGGGGACTCCTACATTAATGCAAAAACCTTCATTGTGTGATTTAAGATTGGATCAAACCAAGAATTTGGCCAGGCACCATAGCACTTCAGCTTGTGAAAAAAACCAGCATATCAAAACCTTGTTGAGTTATCTAAAATCACAGCCCAATCTCCCACCATCCTTATCTAAAGCTTGACAGACTCTTTCAGTAATTGCTGTTAACACATTGATGGTTGACCTAGAAAAACAAAAACCATATTGTTTGTCTGAAAAAAAAAAAAAAAAAGACCTTGTGAGGTGCAATGCTTAACTAATTTGGAGTTGATTATAGCCTTGAAATGCCAAAAGGGGATAGAAAACAAATAGATGAATAATTCAAAGCCCCAGATGGTTCACTATAGTTCTTAAAAACAAGAAAAGATGGAAAGCAAGAAGGAGCAAGGCATTTGTTGTAGAGTTTAGAGAAAATAGGATCCAGTTCAGCACATTTCTTTAGAACAATTGCAGGGATACCATAGAGTCTGTGTGTTTTGTGGGGATCAAGTTTGGAGATGATATTGGAAAATATGGATGGCATTATATTCATATCATACAGTAGAGACTCTGTTCTGTTTCTGGGTGGAAAATAAATCAAAGGTACTTCAAATGTGTCAAGAGTGGAAGTGGAAGAGAAATTACAAGCAAAGCATTATGCTCTTCAGGTGTTTGCCAATCCAGATAACCTTCAAGGAATTTTGAACTGAACCTGTTATTTATTTTTCCACTGACCATGTGTAGGGATAGCTCATCTTATTTTTTTTACTTTTATAATCATTCTTTTTTTACTGATGCAAATTCAAGATTTGAGAATTTATGCAATCTCATGAAACTGACTTTTGAAAAAAAAATTTTTTTTTTCTTCTTTCAGATTTTTTTCTTTGATGTTGAACCAACTAGTAGCAGTAGCAGCTCCAACAGCCAGGTGCGAGGCATTGCAACTGACATGGCCATATTGGACAGTACATATTTTCTTTCCCAGGTTATTCTCTCTGGCATCATGGGATATATAGTTCATATAACTGGGACTGTTCTTTCTTATATCATCACTGCTGGAGTCATGGGGATATTCTCTTGCATTTTCACCACCAAAATTATCATCAACAAACAAGATATTTTGCAGTATGTCAGAGTTAGTCGAACACGAACTATCTTATAATGCATCTTAAATTTTAACATTGGAAAGATTTTTTTAAAATTATTTTTCTTCAGTGTTCAAATGTTATTATATGGCAAAAAGTCTCTTTTTTTTTCTTTTACTCTCTCTCTCCCTTTTTTCCATAAAAAACCAAAATAAAATGTATTTGGATTAAAATGAGAAATTATTTCATTGAGCTCAATCAGGTCTGCCAAAAAAATAAGTGTTTTCTTGAATTAAAAAAAAAAAGAAAAAAAAGAAAAATTGCTATTCTAAAAAGAAAACTAGATTATTACTGAGAGTTTTTATGAACAGAACTTTGCATTAATTTTTCTCTGGTTTGAATTCTTCATTTGTGATATGTTTTCTATAATGTCAAAATGCAAAAATGTCAATTATCTTAAAAAGTGCTTTTGCTATAAAATAACATTCAAACATTACCATTATTTTATTAAGTATATTTTTTTTAACTGGAAAATTGACTTGAAACCAATCTTATATATAGGGGAAAAAGATATATTGACCTCTTCCTGTTTTCCTCTACTTGGCACGATAATGAATTGGGTAAGAAAAAATTATAGTGGTTCCTTAAATCATTCAAGAACAAAAATGCTGAAATTACTAAATACTTTATATTTTGGTGCATATATCTTACATGATTTTAAAGTAATTTTTAACAAATTAATTTCATGTGCAAAGTCTTCAAAATGTCTGCTTTATTTTCACATTTCACTGGTTTCAAACTGGAGGCCTACAAAGCTGAGGCAAGAATGCCTAATTTGCATGAAATTTGAAGTTGGTGTTTACTTAATGGCAGTCTACTTAATCTGACAATGTTGAAAACAAAAGCAAAAATTTTCCCCTCTTTTATTTTTAAATGGAAAAGTCTGTTATTGCTTACAATTATTTAAAACAAATTCTATTATAAAAATTGATTAGAAGCTGTTATAAAATGTCTCTTTGGCGGGGAAAGTTTCAAGTTTATGGTTGGGTGTTGTTGAAAGGAATGTGGGTTATCTAAGCTGAAATATGGTGTCTTAAGGTTTGTTTTATCTTCAGTGAAGCTGAAATATGGTGTCTTAAGGTTTGTTTTATCTTCAGTGAAAATGGAATAGATTTTACATGGATTTTTTTTTTTTTAAACTTATACTAACTTAAGGCTGATTTATCATGTGAGAGCTTAAAAAAGATCATTTATTTAAAAGTATCTATTAACACTTGGTCATCAACATTTAAGCCATTATCTACCAATGTGGGAAATGTCGGTTGTTGTTTGATTCTGTAAACATGATCAAAATCCATTAATGTTGAAATTGCAATCCTACATCCATAAACCTGATACTATAAACCAATATATACAGGTCACTTGTTAAATACATGATGTTACTGCTTGTTGACAAACTTCCAAGACTTTTTTTTATTTTTTTTTTATTTTATATGAAGAGTTACAGTTCCTTTGTATACTGCTATTGACAAAAGCCCAGGTTTTCTTTCTATTGTACAATTAACATAAAAGTGAAAATAGGTGGGCTATGTCTGTATTGTCAAACTAGTATTTTTTTTTCTATTATTTTCATCTTTTGTTGGCTGCTGATTCCAATCCAACACATGTATAGGATGAGGGATATGTACATTATTGAATATTTTATCTTTGAGAAATGCTATTCAGTATCAATTAAAATTTTATGAACAGAGATATACAGGGAGACAACTGAGATTCATGAATATTTCTTTTATAGTTTTCTCTTTAACTTCATCAGAAAAAAAAATTCTCTGAAAAAAAAAAATAAATAAATAAAAAAAAAAAACTCAGTGAAAAATTTATTTTCATGGCTGCTGATAGTAAAAAAGAAATGCTGCTTTACTTTTTTTTTTTTTTTTTTTTAACTTGGCTACATATTTATTTTTATTTACCTCTTACAAATTGAACTTTTTTTCTTTTTTTTTTTTATAAGAAAAATAAATAAAATAACTCCCTGAAGTTGAGGGACAAATTACATAAAAAAATCTATGTAATAAATCATCCTTCAAGTGGTATAAAAAGTGATATATGGTACCATTATTGTGAATAGTTACAGCAAATGAGGTTACAGAATGTGACTATTTGGGATTTAATAAAGAGAACAAGTTTTCAGAGATATCAGCTATCAAAGGGGTTTTCTTATTTTCCAGATTTGTTTTATTATGGCCTCAAATAAGGATCAATATACCAAGATATTTTCATGACAAGTATAAGGCATTGTAAAATGGCTGATTTGAGAATTGCATTCCTCAGACTGACTCTACTGTTACTTGATAATGGTTGAAGAATTGTCTGTTGAAACAATTGTTTTATAAAATTGAGTGTAATGGTTTGAATAAAAACAAATGCTTTGCAATGTTTTGAATGTCATCATTTTCTAATTATCAAGAATTTAATGTTATTGCAATGTTTACTTTGTGTCTGAGAGAAAGAAGTGTGTATGTGTATATATTATATATATATATATATATATATATACACACAACCAGATGAATAATAAATTTGTGATATTTTCATATCCATGTGAATTTAGAATGTCAAATTTAATTTTCTTAAAATAGGAATTAAGTGTGGATGGAGATATGAACAAGTGATGTTTTCTTTTTCTATCTTTGAAAGAAATATTTTTTCCCAAAATGGATCAATCATAAAATATTGGAAAAAAAGTCCTGTCATTTTTTTTTTTTTTTTTTTTTTTTTTGTTGTTGACACACAATTTACTTAAAATTTTTTGATCAATTACAAATTAGTAAGTTTTCTTCATTTTCACCAAGATTAATCTCATCAGACAGACAACTTATTAATATCAATGACATGAAATTCTCTGGGTTATTACGCAAAAAAAACATTCATAATTGGCATATTGTTTCCTGTAAAAATCTGAAAAGGTGATAATGCAGGGTCAAAAAAAAAAAAAGAAGCGGATGGTTCGATGTTCTTTTTTGCATGCATTTTGTAAGGTGTGGTTTTTGTGTTATCCTGTAAGAATAACACCTTTGCTATTAATTAGTGAAGTTTGCTTTTTCAACAAAGGCTGCTTCCAGTTGACTACAAAACTGCTCAGAATTGACCGTTTCTTTGCAATTCAACACTTTGATAGACAATTCTCTTTATATGACTGATATGCAAGTGATTTAACGGATAGCAGCTTGGAATGAGAAATTGCAGAGCAGAGTTAATTACATTCACATGTGTGCAAATACTCTTGGGAAAGGTATTGATCCATTTTCTCCCTTCAGCTATAGAGTAAATAGTAAGACTTTGTATCTGAAAAGTCTTTGTTCTCAAAATAGTTAATATGAAGAAAAAAATTATAATCCAAAATGTTTCAGATTTAAGTAACCGAAAAAGGGGTTAAGCTGTTAAAAATATATATATATATATCTTCATATTACACCAAACACAGTATTACCTGCTCAGAGTAGAATCTTGATTTTGGTATAGGTAAAGGCATTTCCTTAAATTGGAATCATCGTCATTTTCATTGAATATGATTATATAGGATCTGCTTTTCACTGCTGATGACAACCCTTTCATAACATACAACCAAGAACTGCTCAGATCATGTGGAACCTATTGGTCAAGTTTTGATGCTTTAAAAAAAAAAAAAATTTCATTGAGGTGGATTTTTTTTTTTTTGTGTGCATGTTGTCAGCTCAGGATTTGTTTCAGTTTTGCTGAAGAGAGCTTGGTTGTCAATTGTCCAAACTGAGGAAATGATTATATTTCCTGACAACTCTTCAAATATTGTTTGCTGCTTCTGAAGTTGAACCCTTTTTGAAGTTATAAGCAATGAAGTCTCAAATGGATTTTATTTAGTCATATCAATTCAAAAATTCAGCTTGACATTTAATATTCTTAAAACAGAAAGTTAAAACACAGTTCAATGTATAAATATGCCTTATATGATCAAATGACTCTAAAGTCACCATTAAATAAGCAACAGGACTTTCTTTCCAACCTAATGCTATTTTTATAGATCTGAAGATTAATTCTGGTTAATTATTATAGAATACTACACCAGTATGTCATATTTGGAGCCTCTACCTATTATCTTTCATTATGACAAAGACAACAGAAATGACAAAACCTTTGACAACCATGCTAAATATGTCAGTTTGTTTTTGTTTATTTACTCAAATTATATTTTCCATAAAATAAAATTAGTTTGCCCATTATTTTTTTTTATTTTAATCTATTCTGAGATAACCAAAAGCTGAAAGTGGTAGCTAAGGGCAGTTCTTGGTATATTTTAAAGATAGTATGTTTGTGTTGTATACTCATTTTAATTAAGCATCACTTTAAGATTAAAGTAAGATTCTTTAAAAAAAAAAAAAAAAGCTTTGTAGGAAAGCTTGAAGATATTCTAAAATTAGATTGCAATCTATTTTTAGAAATTTAAGATTTGCCGATAATTTCTTTTTTACACTTTTTAGTTTTATTAGATATATTCTTGCTACTTTTTTTTTTTTTTTTTGCAGTAATTACTTCAAATATATTCATTCTTTTAATTATGCCAAATTTCTAAATGTAATTTTGCATAACTTACAACTTTAAATTAAAAATGTATAATTATGTGTATGAGGGATGCCGAAAAGTTCTCTATCCAACTCACTTCTCCCAAATTTGACCCAACATCAAAATTTTTATGGATCCCTTCCTGGTCAGGCCTACAACTTTGCAGCACTCCTATTCATATCAGATTTTTTTAAAGGACTACTTGGTTAGCCTGAAATGTTTTCAGTAACTTTTCAAATAGAAATGGCACTGCTACAGCATGTTAACAGGTTGTTTTTCTAGTCAACTGTCACATCTGGCTGATGTATATTTTATTTTATTTTTAATAACTTCTGGAGCAAGAGGTTTAGATTGTCAAAAACATTTATCAAATAACTATACAATTAAAATTGGAATTGCAAAAATGATATAAATCTTTTTTAGATGGTAAATATTAAACTCTTTTGAGAAAAAAGCAACATAGGTGAATCTTTCTTGGTTA